GTTAGTTCATTACTAAGTGTAGCAAACAAAAAACAAATCAAAAAATAATTGAGAGAGTAACCTGGCGTATTTTCCGCTTATGAGTTTGGGTAGTAGCGGCTACAAATCGCTTCATCGTTATCGCCCCATCGCATTATCGCGCGATCGAGTCGATGCTCGATGCTGCGATAGTGAACTACATGGCCCTATCCGGATTCCATAATATATCGCCAAACCCCCTAACTCCGTCACTACCATAACTCCGTCACTTTCGGGAAACTCCGCGCTGTTTGTAAACGAATGCGATTGTGGCGTCATTTTTACATGCTGAAAATCTACAATCAAATACCGAGAAATTATTACAGTCAGGATCAAAAATGCGTCAAAAATGAAGAACAATTACACGTGATATATTGTATCTATCATAATTACAATATACTTTAATATTATTTATATGTAATCATTCTGAAATAATTGTATATGCCCCCTGAGGGCCCTTGATTGGTGAATAAACATATTCATATTTTATGTGAAATCAGTAAGCACTTTTTCTTTTAGTTTTATGCGCTATTCCATCGATACCTCCGACATGTGCGTCAATATGCTTATTTTTGTATGTCAGTCATATTTATGAAGGTCTTTGCCAAAGGATTAATATGACGTGCCATATTGATACGGCTAAAAATATTTTATTTTTCGACTCAATTTGCCCTTATACGCTACAAGTTGGAGATAACGTAGCCCGACTTTATTACGTATAAAATATGTTATATTAACGTTATTTTTTCTGTTGTTGATACTTTTCCTAAATTAAAATTTAATACTATTTTAAATCTCCAAAACTAATTTTCTATGTTTACAAGTTTAAGATGAAGGGGTAAAAAAACTAAACTGAAAAAAATTCTAATTAATACTTTGACATATTGTAGAGGACCCTGGTGACGGCATCCTCGCAAGCCAAGGGTCCTGAGTCAACATGTTGCCGTTGGACCAACGGCAACGTGTTGACTCAGGACCCCTTTTCTTGCGAGGATGTGGTGACGGAGTTCTAAAGGGTTCATTGGACGTAATGTACACAGATGTGATACGCGTCTATTTATAGAGGGCGGAGCCCTCTCACGGGCCCGAAGGGCCCGTGAGAGCGAAGCTCTCCCTATAGGTAACACGTATGTATGTAAAATATATTGAATTCTATTGTAAACTATATTTTTACTACAATACCTATGGAACTGAGAACCTTGTCGCCAATATGGCGTCCGTAGTCTTTTCCATCTTGAATCTCGCGACAAATTCCCGCATAGACGAGATACCGGTGAATCATAATTTTAATTCCAATCCTGTGTTAATGAAGTTTTATCAATTCTAATAATCAAAAACACCCTTATAGTACACATCCTTCTTACTTTCGTTTTCAACTAACTTGCAATCGATCGTCATAGATCCGACATGTGACGTCATTCCTTGAATCAGCAGAAACTGCCGACTTTTTAACAACCTGTAATAATTGATATTTCATATGCGTATTCTCTTTTTAAAAACAGATTTATTCAACTTTAAATAAACCATACCATGCTTTTTGGAAAAAAAACGTGGTTTAACGAATTTCAGTGACGTCACTGTCTAGACTGCGTACTATGCACTATGGAGGCGCGGATCTTTCTGTGGCCCCTTTCACTAAAAATCTTACGACGAATGTCTTTAGGTTTATTCTCAGAACACAAGCTAGAAATATATAATTTTTTGTGACATATGATTTTCCTCTTGAATAATTAAAAAAAATGTTTTAGTGGTAAAATATTTTGTGGAAAGGTTTACTGAATATTCTGGTAATGGACCCAACAAGGGGGGGGGGGGATTTTAATTTTTATCTGTTTTTCTTTTTTTTAATTTTCATTCTTGCACCCTAATTGTTTTTTTAATTACCATGTTGTCGATGTATACATTTGCAGGTTGAGGCCCATGTCTCATTTCTGTTGTTGTAAATTTGTTTCGTTTGTTTTGTTTTGTTTTGTTTTTTTTTAATTTTTAAAGTGTCAAATCTCACAAATCTCAGTTCCTTAGCTCACCATCAAAAGAAAAATCTTTTTAACATGTCTGAAGCTCAAATGACGGTCCATTTGACTCTGTTGTCTTTTTAGAATTATAGATTTTTTTCACCTGACAAAGTTACACATGTTCCATATAATTGCTAGCGCTCTCGAGCGCTAGCAACTACGTTAGTCTATATGTTTGAAATACGCATGCTCGATTTCACGGTCGGGGATTCTGGGAAAACTACTGTAGATAGACTGTACGATAAGAATTTCGTTTTGTCATACAAAAATAGAAATGATCCGAATTTACACTGGCCTTTCCTGTCTGATATGCGCGAAATACATTTCGTAGGTTAGAGATAGTCAGTACCAGTCTAGATCCGGATTCTGATTTTTTTTTTTAATTTATTGTCTAACCTACACATAAAAGTACAAGAAAAAATTTGGCCATATAATGCCAAGATTCTAGACATCTAGCTTTCCTTACAGTTTTACAACTTAAGTGGATAATTCCGGCAAGCTCGGAAAAAACAACAACAACAACCACAACAATCTTTTTCAGAGTATGTCGGAAAGACATGTCAATTTAGTGTTTATCATCTGAAAATACATATGATCTGAAGTTTCGTGTTTTGTTGTCTAACCTGCACGTAAATGAACAAAAAGTAACAGTAACTCGTGTCTTATAAAACCAAGACTGTTAATTCTAAAGCTGTAATGAATACATAGCTTTTCTAATCTACCTTCATGGATCTTTCCGGCAAGCTCGGAAAACCGCGGCAACCTCGGATATGTTTTCCGAGCTTGCCGGAAAGGCCCAAAGGTGCTCATTGGTTCTACTGACCTTTTATTTTTCACCTCGAAATTGAAATTACCGTAAAATGCAGAATGCTTAAAGCACAGTTAGGAGTTATGCCATCGCCGACGTGAAGCACGCTCTTAGATTCACCATTCTGAATTGTGACCACCACCACCACCCCCCCCCCCCAACTCAACCCCCAGTGCACCAATCTGCCTTCCTATTAATAATTAATCGATTCAGCAAATTTAACAAATGGTTCAGATATCTTCTTCTGTATTTTATTATGCTACAGCGCTAGCTCACCAATCTTTTTAAAAGATAAGCTTGTATATATACAATGTTGACACAATTGAATGGATCAAACATATAATTTTAAAAAGCTTGAGGATTTCTAGTTTTTGTCAGTTTTAAAAAGAACTATTTAAAAGTATAAAACAGAAAATTTATTCAACCAATTGGAACCCATGGTGAATTATAATAGTGTATAAAGTTCAAAATCATACGTAATTGAGCAAAACTAAGTTAAACAATGTATGATGAACAAGAAGGTAGCCATTCAGTTTACATGTAACAGTATATAAATAAACACGTATATGACTTCAATGTTGCAACAATTAAACTGTATACTATAATTGTATATATACCATAGATAGATACTTTACTGCAAAACACATGTAATGTATATTTTTAATAAAGTTTTCTGTACTAATAAATGTTCTTTTGGCTTAAAAAAAGCATATACAGAATCTTCATTAGATATTACCCATGGTAATCCAATTAGTAAAGTTGAGCAGTACTAAAACTATCTTTTTTAAGCTTCCATATATGATCCTTTTAATAATTCTGTGGTGAATGTCACAAAACACCAATTACTGTGATACAGAGGGGGTCGATACAGCAATAAATAATTTTACCTTTTATTTTTGTTTATAAAAAAAATGCTGAAATCTACATTTTTCATTAAATTTAAGAAAATAATTAATGGAAAACTGATTAATGTTAAAAAAAAGAAAAAGAAAAGATGTATCATACATGCATTGCAATATTTTTCTCTGAAATTCTGCGATACATCATGATATTTTTAGCCCTCGCGACACACAGCCCTAGTGTTGGTCAGGTAATATGTTTCCCATTGTCCTGATAACCCAGGAAGTAGATCATCTGTCTATAATTTGGGTCCCAAGTTCAATTTCTGATGTGGTCCTTGAAAATTGTCCTTATTTGTATTTGATGTCAAAGTCATGCACGGGGAGTAACAGATGAGAATCAAGTGGCTGGATGTTTCTGGATTGGTGTCTTTAAATGTGCATGTAATCATGAAAGATTAAGAAATGATGCTCAGGCATGTTCATTTAATGTTGAACAGATACATAGGTGAAAGACTTAACGTCTTAAAAATGAAACTCTTGGGCATGGATAGTTTGAACAGTTGAATCCTTGACTGGTCTGGAGTAAGGTCTCTCTTTCCCTGTTATGCTATTAGATTTTGAGTGCTCTGGCTAAGCAACTCATGTCATTACAATTTTATTTTTATCTTTAAAGAATAAAATGTAGAAATGTTCTCTCGAAAGCTCCGCCCTCACTAACGGTCGCACCGTCTAACATATTAGTAGTTTCGTATAAGCCCAATAGCCGAATTTTTTAAAATAGCTCTGAAATCAATGTTTAAGTTCATTACTAAGTGTAGCAAACACGAAACAAATCAAAAATAATTCAGAGAGTAACCTGGCGTTTTTCCGCTTATGGTGACGGAGTTTGGGTAGTAGGGGATAACGGCTTTTCGCTTTGTGTTACAACGCGGCCTTCTTGAAAGGGGTTAGAACGCCTCTCCATTTTACAATATTACACCTTAATTAAAAGGTGTAATAATGCCTTTTCACTTCGCTTTATAACGCCTTTTATCAGGATCTATGAGTAAAATCGAATAATTTATGGTTTAATTTACTCACGGAAAAATAGACTTCCGGTAGAAAGCGATGATCGATCGCAGTGGTTCCCTCAAGATTACGACAATTCTAGCAGGTTGTAACTTAAAATTTAAGTTCATTATAGATTTAAAAGTTGTTTCACACACAGAAAACTACACACGATCACTTAATACTTGTTTACAACATGGGAGAAACTGTGCAATTATTTAATGTGGAGGAAATTCGAACACTATAACTTTAAATCGTAACTTTCGACTTATTTTGTAGATGTTACAGTTGACTGAAGAGAACAGCCAAGTTTCAGTTAAAGTTTGCAGTTGATATTGTTCATCAGCATTGGATATGACCGATAAAACCAGCGATGGTATAACCAATTTTAAAAGCTTTCAGCAGAGACATGGTTTTTATATGTCTCTGCTTTCAGATAGAGGTCTAGAAAGCTTCTTTATTTTTAAAATACACATATTTAAGATGATTCCTTTGACCGTATATACAACAGTAATAAATAATGTTCATTCTTAGTTAAAGTGCTGCATGTTATCATGAGAATAGACTTGTGTGTTAAGTTTTCCTCTAATTTTATTATCTTGAAGGATCGAAGAAGAAAGCACGTACATTTGATTTTATGGACATGTTTAAGGAGGCCAGACAAACTGCCTTAGAACGTAACCAAGGTATGACATTTTTGTATAAGGTTTTTGAAATGTATTCAAACTTTGCTTCATAATTTGATTGATACGTACATTATTTGTATGATCTTAAAAATAAAAAAAGGACATGATTTTGTTAAAAAATAAAATTTTTGATCAAAGTGCACTGTATAAGTAAAGGTTAGGTTTCAAAGAATTCAACCAAAAAATATCTTTGAGCCAAGGGTGTCCACAGAGTGGTCCAAACTTGGCAGCTCCCAGGTTAATATCCAAAACATCATTAGCTACAGATTAAACTACTAGCTAGTGTTTTGTATTTTATAAAATTTACTCATATATTCAATTTTTTATATGTTCCTGTTCATTTTCAATAATTATTCTCTCATTTACCCCCATTATTGTATTTAACCCAGAAATTCAAAAAGAATGTTTTGTTTTAATAGGTAAATTTGAGGATGACAAAAACAGTGAAGATATTGATAATGAAGACATCATAGGCCCACCTCCACCAGCTGCTCATAAATCTACTAAAGAAGCCGAATCTTCAAAATCTCAAATTTCAACAAACTCTAAGCCATCTTGCAAAAGTAGTGATGAGGAGGATATGATAGGGCCCCCACTTCCTCCAGGTATAGGATCCAAAACAGATGCAGATGAAGATGATGAAATGATAGGTCCTCCATTACCTCCTGGTTTGTCCATGTCAAAAGATTCAGATGATGAAGAGGAGGAAGAAGAAGAGGTATATAATTGACTTATACATTACAATGATGTTTATGCAATGTGTGAATTTGATTTTGAGTTTTCAATATCTTATATTCAAGAAGAATTCAAGAACTACTAAAAGAGAAGGCTAAGTACAGTTATAATCTATGATTTAATCTTATTTTGTTTTCTTTTTCAGACTTTAGATGAGAAAATTCCTTCTTCTCACGAGATATCTCTTGACCATGGATCCAAAGCTGTAAGATTTTCTTTTATTTTATATTTATTACTAGCATCCTAACTCATATAAAATTGCAATTTCTGACATAGTGGTTTCAATATATCTCTTCAGAAATGTTGTTATTGTAGGTTTCTGCCTTAGCCCTGGACCCTGCAGGAGCACGGCTTGTAACAGGTGGACACGACTTTATTGTCAAGTTTTGGGATTTTGCTGGAATGGATCAGAGTTTACAGTCATTCAGGAACATTAAGCCATGTGAAAGGTGCAAGTTTTATCTTTTATTCATTAAATAGTTCCGTGAATACTTTTTTAAATGGCAAGATTATCTAATGTGTTGAAAACTGGGAATTAAATTTAGGTAGTGTGAATTAAATGCGAGCAAAATTAGGATTTAATAACAATAAAATTATTTTTTTTAATACAGTCATCACTTGAAACAGTTGCAGTACAGTGCCACAGGTGAAATGATTCTGATTGTAGCAGCTAATTCCCGTGCCAAAGTCATGGATCGTGATGGATTTGAGAAGCTGGAATGTGCTAAGGGAGACCCCTATTTGGTGGACATGGCTAGTACAAAGGTATTGGTTTAATGCAGTAAATCTCTAAAGAACTTATAAATGATTTGTTAAATGAATTTGAATTCCACGATTTACAAGAGTAATTCAATAGCTTTTCCTTTCATGATAGATACATATATCATCTGAAAGAGACACTAAAGTTTTTTTTTTTTTTTTTATTCTTATATACTAGATCAATGCTTTGTCCTAGTTTGAAATATGCAGTCAGATATCTAATCACAAACTTAGAAATTAAATCCTTAGGAATGTCTTTTCCTTTTCAATTACTAATTTTTACAATGATTTGTGACACTGTTTGACTAGATTTATTTTTTGGCAGGGGCATACAGCTATGCTAAATGGTGGTTGCTGGAATCCCAAAATGAAAGAAGAGTTCATGACATGTTCCAATGATGGGTGTGTATTACCCTTTAAGTAAATACATGAACGTTTAATGAAAGACACTTTGGCTAGCTAGCAGACATAAAAGTTCTACTACTTGCTAACTGTACAGCAATGAAGTTTATTCCAGAGTTAAAATTTTAAAAAGTAAATAAATACATGTAACAAGACAAATATGTTTTTGCTTACCATATGTACTAGCCTATGAGTCAGGTTTTTTGGGAGTTAGATTTCGGTTCAAAACTCTTTGTCTGACTTGTAGGCAAGTCATTGAAATATCGGTATTTTTCTTTATGGTGAAATATAAAGGCTTTTTAAACAACTCCAACAATTATCTTAAAAAGTTGATGTGCTGAGAATAAAAATTTATATATTGGTCTAATTTCCCAAAATATTATTTGAACACATGTAAATACATCAGAGTAATGATATGAAATTGATTTGTTGAGAATAAAGAGAAAATATCGGTGTCATTTCCCAACATATTATTTGGCACACAGTTAAAACGGAGTATTGACCTGAACTTGTCAACTGATACTGGCAAAAAATTGTACTGACCTACAAGAGGTTCAGTGGAAAATCCCTCCAAAATATCCTAAAAAATGGACTGACTTGAAGGTGAATATTTATGGTATTCTTTTTGCAGTACCGTGAGATTGTGGGATGTAAACACAGAGGGGAAGAAACACAAGAACTGCATCAAGCCAAAGTCTCAGCAGGGGAGGAAACTAGTACCCACAGCTTGTACTTACAGTAATGATGGCCGCTGGGTGGCAGCAGCATGTCAGGATGGATCAATTCAAATCTGGGATCATAATAAAAACTTTGTAAGAAAGCTTTATAACAACTCACATTTAATGTTTTCTTGAAATTCAGTAGTTGCTTAAAGATAAGTAATACTCTTGTATATTAAATACAAATATAGTTTGACATGTAGTATTATCATAAATTGTCATTGGAGACATGTAGTACATCTCGCTGATTTTGTGTCCTCAGGTAGACTGTTCCCGTGAAGAGAGAATAGCTCTAATACTGATGATTAATATTTCTTTCTTTAAAATAAAATTACCACCTTCAGGTTCAAATTTCCTTGGAAAATAGAAAAAAATGACATTTACATGAATATTACACACAGCAAACAACTATTTCAATGTCAGTGTAATCAAAACTACAAAATATTGCATAAATTCCAGAATAAAAATACTTATACATAAATCATAGAGTTGCTGCATGAAATTTATTTGTATTCAAATGTATTAAAGTTTTATGTGACTATATATATATATATCTCTATATATATATCTCTATATATATATCTATATATATATATATATATATATATATATATATATATATATATATATATATATATATATATATATATATATAATTGAATACATTGACAGGTAAATGTGGCACTCCTAAACAGAGGATGTCATATGAATGGTACAGACACTTCCTGTTTATGTTTCTCTTATGATGGACAATGTTTGGCATCTAGGGGAGGTAAATTGCATATCTTATCTATCTCATTCCGTGTAAAGTTTTTTTTAAATAGATTATTCAGTTTTTTAATGGCTACAAAAAATTATTTGATGCCTCAGAGATTGAGGGTCAGGAGTACATTGTTTACAATCTTAAATTTGCTCATGGCATTTGATGTAAGCTTCATGTAGAATTTATACTTGAGAGTATTCCATGACCTATATCAGAGTATTTCTTTGCCCTGATTCAAGGTCATTTGGATGAAGTCAAGGCTACAGGGATTTGAAGTGTTTTATTCATGTCTGGTCCTTAATTTTGAAAAGAAAAACTTACAAGCCCATGCTTGAAATGTTTTTATTTTATTTTTAGGTGATGACACACTTAAATTATGGGACATAAGGAATTTCAAGAAACCTTTAAAAGTGCGAGAAAATTTGGTCAGCTATTATCCAGTGTAAGTTACCTTTGAATAAAGTTTGTTGAAGAACTTCCTTATAATTGGATTAGAATACTGTACATCAATATTAACAAAAACGGATACTGGCACACAGGAAGATAATGAAAATTTATCTTTCAGAACTGACTGCATCTTCAGTCCTGATGACAGAATGGTATTAACAGGAACCTCTGTAAAGAAACACGGGGATGGAAAACTTATCTTTATGGAGCGAGAGTCCTTAGATACTGTGTCTGAAATTACAGTGAATGAATCTGTAAGACTTCTTATCTCAGTTATCTTTCCCTTGAATAAATATAAACAAAATCTGTTTTATGAGATTGAAAACTTTTTTTGCTTGTTGATAAAATTGTGGACTATTTAAATGAATAAGTCTGAATGTTTCTTGTTCAAATTGTTAATTCTTAGTTCTCTTATTTTGGACAGAGTGTTGTACGGTGTATATGGCATCCCAAACTGAACCAGATAGTCATTGGCTGTAGTGATGGAAAGGCTCGTCTGTTTTATGATCCAGACAAGAGTCATAGGTATAGCGAAAAAATACTGTAAAATTTAGCACCATCGTTATCTTCAATCGATAAGCAGGATCACAAATTTGTGTGTTTGAGTCTGAACAATGACATGGATTAGTTTTAATCATATATTAGCGTGTATAAAAATTAGCAGACAAGAAGCTGAACAAAAGGTGCTAAAATACTAGTATGGTTACCGCTAAATTAAATGTGTTTACAGTGGTTGTACTGCATTGTTATTAAAATAAATTCATGCTATTAGTTCGGTAGGTAAAATACATTGCTGCATTTAAAAGCTAAAATTCATTAAATATCACATTAATGAATGTGTTTTAACAGAGGAGCTATGCTTTGTATGGTAAAGCAACCTAGAAAATCCAAGCAGGTGCTGGCTATGGCATCACAACAAATCATAACACGTAAGTCTGTTGCCATGAAAAAACAGCTATTGCTATAAATTGCACTTTTTTAATATATGGAAATATGGAAATGTAAAAATAATGTTGTTCTTACAGCATATGCATTGCCAATGTTCAAAGAAAACAAATCCACAAGTACAAAGAAATTTGAGGAGAAAGTCCGAAAGGATCCTGTTAAATCTAAACGACCAGATTTGCCCATCACAGGACCAGGTATGAACACAGATATCAGGCTGTGACCAAAGGGCAATAAGTGTATCCTGTGTTTTAATGTTTCTTACAAACCAAGAAATAATATATTTCAACTTCATGCAGAGTTTTTGTAATAAATACAAGTTGATGTTTACAATTAGAGATTCTGTTTTAGGTGAGGGTGGTCGGATCGGTATGAAAGGCGCTACACTGGCTCAGTATGTGGCTCAGAGTCTGGTGAAGAGGAAACCTGACAAATATGAAAACGACCCCAGGGCAGCTATTTTAAGACATGCCAAGGAGGCAGCAGAAAATCCATTCTGGATTGACCCTGCCTACAAAAAGTATGCTCATCCTTCCTTACTTAATAAATGTATTGTATATATATCTATTGATGCAACAGGGTTATACTTTATCTCTGTTTAAAATGATTTCTGCAAATCATTTCATGTAGTCATACTTTAAAATACTAACTTTTAAAATTTCATTGATCAAATATTTACTGGTATTTACTTTTATCATGAACTGTTTGCCTTTCTCTCTAACTTGATATTTCTTATTACTACTTCAGGACCCAACCCCAAAAACTCTTCCAGGAGGAAGAGAAGGAGGAGGAGGAAGATCCAGATGAACCAGTCTGGAAGAAACCCAAAGTTTGATTCAAATTCAAAAGCCAGACTGCAGGTCAGTCTCCACCATTAACTGAATTCTCCGTGAGAGGATGTGAAAATGAATGAAGTTTTTCATTTCTCATTATCCATGATAATAGAAAAATGGGAAATGCAGACAGGTCAATTCTTAATCAGATTCCAATGAGTTTGAATGACTGAAAACAAGGCATGAAGGTGATTCTGTGTTTTACAATTTATTTGAACACTAATAATGAAGTATTTGCCCTCAGTAAAGACACTAGAATTGAAGTGTACATGTATATAAAGATGTCGTTATGTATACTTTTCCTGGGTTTATTTAAATTGAATATATAATTCCTAGATTTAAATAAAATATCATTTCATCCATCTATGTTCAGTCTCTGTAGAAAAAAAATTGTACACATAGATACAGTTCAAAAGAGAAAGGTAATGTTTACATAAAATATATTTACATCCCAAGTGCTTACTGTTTACATAAATGTATATGTATATTTATTTAAATTAAAGTTTGAAACACAAAAAAGGTATGAGAATAAGTTCAATGCCAGGGTCTTGACACTAATAAAAGTCTTGTAGTCCAAGGTTAGTAAAATCCCACAGTTGATAACACTGAGAAATCCATAAGACACAAAATAAATTGTTATACGCATATATAGCAGTTTCTGTGTAACACTCTACAAAAAAAGTCCATCATTTTGCCTGTTCCAGCAACTGTTGGACTGGAACTGTTAAAAAAGACTGTTGACCGACGTGACAACATAATGCCCTCAAACAGGTTTTTACGTCATTTGGTTTAAAAAAAAAAACAAATGGCTGATGTACACTTTACAGTTGCATAGATTAGAAAGAGGAAATTTAGACCATTTTAGAAACCAAAACAGCAAAGAGCTAAAGATGATGTTGAAACAGCTTAAAACATTATTCAATGATCTGCTGTCTATCAATTTTTTCCTGTAAAAAAAAAAAACTTCGATGAGTTGATTGAAATTGATAACAATTTCTTCTGTGCAGCTCAGGAAGAAGGATAGAATTATGTACACTAGAAAATCTACAATCTCCATATGATATGGATTACCAAAATTGTTTGAAAAATCACATGATTTTTAAATTTAATATAAGTTGCAGGGTTTAAGAATGCAAAAGACCATGACATTTTCTGTGCTGCATTGGAACAGATAAAAATAATCTTGATTTATTACTGTATAACATAATGATACTGTCATACATGTATTTAAAGTTTTTATATATATATATATATATTATGGGTATAACAAAACAGTTTGTTGACAGGGGTCTTGGGCAATAGTTGATCTGTCAGATTGTAGTGCAAACTGTTGCCCATGGCCTTCTGCACACTGGTCTGACAGATCAACTGTTGCTCTCAACCCCAGTCAACCACAGTATTCTGTGTTGCATTTTAATCAAAGTTTACTGCCTAAGATCTAGTGCTGAACCCCAATTGTCAATCTTTGACTCTTTGATTAAAACCAAGGAAATATGGCAATGAATAGTATGACAACAAGAGAAATGATTGTCAGAATCCAGATCGGGGAAATATTGTGAGATTTGTCTTGCATAAGATCTTCAATAATATTGCAAAGCTGCTCTGTAAACTGTTCGAAAGAGAATTTTTCTATCACTCTCTGTTTCCCAGCCTCTCCCAGCTTCTTGTGCAAGTTTTCACTGGTCAGAAATTTACTCATAGCATTACAAAATACATCAGGTGCAGGATCACACAAGTAGCCTGTCTCCCCATCTGCAATAGTTTCCAGAGGTCCCCCACTGTTTGCAGCAATAACTGGACACTGTAAATACATGGCCTCAATTGGTACAATTCCAAAATGTTCATTTTCTGGTGTGTACAGTAAACATGTGGCACTGGACAGTAAGGAACGTTTCTCTGCATCAGAAAATGATCTGAGAAAACTAACATTTTCTGTAAGCCCCTTTTTCTCCACGATGTCTTTCAGTTCTTTGTAGTATTCCCTGTTTTCTGTCACTCTTTCATCATAACCTCCAGCAATTATGAGGTGACATTTAGAGTTTCCGTGCCTCTCTACCAGAAGTTCTACAATTTCAAATACAAGTACATGTACATTTCAAAAAAGAGCAACACTCTGTGTAAGGTTACTTAATTGTCATTAAATAGAATTTTAAAGATCTATAGTGTTTTAACTTACCAAAAGCCATCACTGCCAGGGAAATATTCTTTTTTCTTTCATATCTATTGATGGAAAGGAATAAGAATGGCTTTTGAGGAAGAGTTGCCATAAACTCCTTGTCTACTGGTTTTTTCAGGGTATTGAAGTCGGGTATTGGATACAAAACTGCAGGCTGCACATGACTCAGTGACTTGAAAGTATCCTTAAATATCCCAGCTGAAAAAAAAAATTAAAAAATTCCAAAATATCTTATTAATAAGATCTACTGTTATTATGTAAAAGCAACAAGCCTTAAATAAAATATTTTTTAGGGAAAAAAGACATATAATTCAGTTGCTGAGGTTAGAAAAGACAAATTTTTTTTTGGCAAATGGTCTCTGGTGAAAAATGTAACTGAGCTATCAAAATTGGAAAATACCTGTAAAATGACTGTTCACAAGGACTTTGTGAGCCAAACCAGTGGTGTACTCTTCCAGCTTGTCAATGGGTTTTCTGTACAATGTCTTTAAAAAACTTTTTCTTTTGGTAAGAAGCATATCAGGAAAATGACAGTAAAACAAAATTCTGACAGAGGATAGTAAGAGCACTGGAATACATGCAGATATTTGGTCACAGAAAACAACATCAATTTGCAGAAAGGGATTAATGACAACATACAGTGCAGCATAGATCATTCGAATGTAAGCGCACAGTGCATAGAATCTGCCAAAGAGTTTTCGTGGAAGCCAATCTCCAACACATGTAACTTTTAAAGTTCCATCCTTGGTCTCTTGAAAACAGTGTGAAGGGTCATGATGGGCAGTCACAAATTGCACTTGGTGGCCTTTTGATTTCAGTGCCAATGCTGCATCTATTACAGCACGTTCAGCACCTCCAATTCCCAAATCTGGGTGCAGAAACAATACTCGAACCATAACTAAAAGTAAAACAACAAAGATAACAACTCTTGTTATGTTTCATTTCTTAAGAATAACTATAAAACTCCAAAGCGGACTTATTCAATAGATGATTACTTTTTTCACATTAATTTTTAGTAAATGAGGTCGCGTTAATCATGTTATTATTAAGACTAAAATTTATCTAATGATCGACTTTTCCACTAATTATTAGAATACAATTACTGTACAATACGCTTACTTCTAGCTGTCGGCAAAAATACACGTATTCGATAAAATGAAAGTAAAATATTTTACCTCCTTATGCTGGAGAGTGTATACGAGAGTTATGCACCTTGACTTTTTTTTTCGTTTTTTTTTTTAAAAAGGAAGGGGGGGGGGATTCTTGCTTCTTACCAAGCTTATAGAAGAAAAAAAATTGTAAACGTATGAATGTTTGACAAATTTGAAGAAAAAGCTGCATATCTAATGAGTTATATATAGTGAAAAATTAACTGAATTTAAGGACTTAAGATACTCAGGAAAATATTGTAAAATTTTGTAAAACAGTTTCTACAGACTTCATTTATATTTCTAAAGCACATTTATGACGAAATTTTCCTACCAAACAAGCTTATTATTTTTATTCTCTCCAAATCTGTACTTTTATATCTTTCTTGAAATTCAAAACGAAAACGTGAATTTTTTTTTTTAATCTCCAAAATATGAATTTACTTTAATTCTACCATGTAACAAATTAATTTGAATCCCTTAAAAAAATACAAGACGCTGTGATAAAAGAAATCCTACTATTTCTAGATTTTGGGTATCCTGTGACCTTAAATTGAGTATACCCATTTGGATAATCTTATTCTATTTGAGTGACTACAGCTACATTGGATTTTCATACTTTAAATTCTGCTGTATATGCAACTGTTGTATAAGATTCTGAGGGTGCTGGTCTACCTCGTCCTGCAGCAGCTCCTCGAGGGGCTGGGACACCACGCGGGGCACCTCTTGCTGGCGCTCCTCTATAAGAAAAAAAATAACTCTTTGGAAAAGATACCACTTTAAACTAACTTTGCATCTCTCAGTTTGAGGATAGACGCAAGAACATTCATTTTTATAGCACTTTCGATTCTCTAAATTATGATTGACACTGAGACAGTAGATTCCAAAGATGATATCTCTGCTTCCAGCAGCTAAAACATGTTTTCAGGTGATGATTACTTAAATTCTAAAATGAAATCTCCAATACACATGCCGGGTTTCAATTACAGACAGTTAGTCCCTTTCTCAAACAAAATTTCTAGTCTATCTGTGCACGAATAACTTTTTCTCAGCACTCACTCAGTTTTATCCCGACGCAAATCTGAATAGACATTGAATAGTGAAATAGTGATTATTTGAATTTTAAAAATGAAATCTCTTTACGGACAGCCAGTCCGTTTCCCAAGTAAATTTTTTAGTCTATCTGCATGCGCGGATCCAGGTATTTTTTTTCGTGGGGGTCCACACCCACCACCAACTTCCCAAATAAATCCCACTCAGACTTTTTTGACTGACTGGCAAAAAAAAAAAAAAACAAAACAAAACAAAACAAAACAAAACAAAACAAAAAACAAATAAAACATAATAATTTTGAAAAAAAAAGTAAACTTGTCCAAGCAAGTCCGAAAAAACATGTTTTGTAAGAAGGTGTATGTGTGTGGGTTTTTTTTTGGGGGGGGGGGGGTGTTAGAAGAACAGGTCGCTTTACTTCATAGTAGGGATGTCAAAATATTTATTTTCCTTTGTCGATTATTCGATTGCATTATTCGAACGATAGTCGAATATTCGGAACATTTTCTGGAAATAAAATTTTATTTCAAACTTCACTGGTATATGATGTATTTATAACTCAAAAACCTTTTTACTTAAATCTATTTAAAAAAGGAACATCAAAATTAATGCAACGTAACGCATGATTATATGAAATAAATTAAGAAACCCAATTCTCCAAAATGTATGATTTCCCCGTCAATCGAATTCATAATACGGTCTGTACATGCTGTCAGTTTTTATTTTAGTGAGTTTAATATATATATATATATATATATATATATATATATATATATATATATATATATATATATATATATATATATATATATATATATATATATATATATATATATATATATTAAATTTAAAGTCTATTATGAAATAAATTGGGGGGGGGGGCTAATCTCATAATATCCACATGGCAGGTGCCTGTGAAATTGTTAAACAGTTGGATACTGCTTATTCTATTATTGATTGCTCTGGCTATGAAAATGTCCTTAACAGTTTAAAATGTACATGTATAAGCGAATTGTTTGAATAATTATCGAAGTGTCAAAACATGACACACCTATGGTTTGTTCCTTTCATTTGAGCAATCTTAATATAACAAAAGATAATTGGTATAAGATCAAGTCCAATTAATAATTTTACAATCAAAGCCCAGTTTATTGGAGGGTAACTTATTATAAAAACGACACAGGCAGTTACTGATAAATAATTCTCGCAGTAGTGAAGCACATAGCATATATATACAATTACTGTACTTTCTATACATACATGGAAAATCAACCGTTTATTGTTGAGGAAAATTATCTTATCGACTGTCTCTGAGGAAAGACGGTTTCTCAATTTTGTGACGATAATTTCATCACTCTTTTATTGCATTTATTTAATTTTAATAATATTCGAATGTCGTTTCATTATTCGATCGTCGGTCCATTCGACTGATAGTCGAATAGTCGGCTATTCATTGACATCGATCCTACTTCATAGATATGTCTCTCCTTACAATTTTACCAGGGATTCGAGTTTTGGGAAGTATAGGGTTCTAACTCTTAGGTTATTTTTTGGTATCTTTACTGTTTTAAATTTGATAAGTGAAAATCCCAGGGAAGGGAGGGGGTCAGGACCCCATGAATCTCCCCTTCTAGATCCGAAAACTTTTTTTCAACACTATAGCAGCCCAGTTGAGCTAGTAGATTAAGACGTTCTGAACAACTGGGAGCGAAATCAACACCCTAAAACCTTAGAATCATCACTACAAGATATATTGCCAATATATCCCACATGTAGCATATTTAATTCTTTCCAAAAAATGCGAATATAATACTTATTGGTGCTCAGTTTATTTTTAAAAGCCATATCTAGTTCATTTCAGCATCAGTCAAATCTAGTTGTCATGTTAGAGACGTTAGATGACTTTTTTTCCCGAAGCATACATGTGCTGTTTTGGTATGAATAAGTGATCATGAACACATTTTAAAAAATCATGTCTAGTAATAAGTAATTATGGAAAACGCCTCTGCATTTTCACGAAAGATTCAATTTTGATATCCGGTTCCTCATAATGCTACAATTAATATAACTCTCCAAAGAGCAAAATATCAAAAACATGCTTAGTAATCGATAATAGTTTGCTGCTCTCTAAACAAATATGCATAGAGTGCAGTTGCAATTTGCATGTTTGTCGAGATGCCCGAGTTTACCCTTCCGATCACGAGCCGAGATTTCGTCAGAACATGACACTGTTTCTGCGGCAATGGAACGCAGAATCCCAGGGGAATGTAACACTATTAATAAATGTACACTTTACATGAGCCGTGCAACCAAGAGTACACGAGAGACACTTTCACCGTTTTATCGGTTCTCTTGTTTTTAATTTTTGTATGTCTGTCTGTGTGTGTGTGTTTGTTTTGTTTGTTTTGGTTTTTTTTTTTTGCAAGTGTGTGTGCGTGTATTTTGGTTTGCTTGCCTCTTTTTTAACGAGGGTGCTGTTATGGTTTTTATTACTATATTATCAAGAAATTTAATTGAAAAAATACATTAATTCAAGAACTACTTTAAAACAGATGGATTTAATTTTTAGTCGCCAGCTTTTGAAAAAGCGAGGGGACATTAAATCTCATTCGTCTGAATAACTGTCCGTCTGTTAGTCTTTCTGTCACAAAAAAATTAATCTTGGTTATAACTTTTGATTGGGCTTTCAAATTTCATATGACCTGTGACAAGACCTTTCCAAATGAACTATGATTTTTGACCCTGTGACTTTGACCTTGAAGTTTGACGTACTTTTCAAAAATGTTATCTTTGGTGATATCTTTTGAATGAGAGAGGATAGGGAGTTCATATTTAAAATGTGCATTACTTTTGACAAGACCTTTCCGGCTGTATTATGGTTTTTGATCCCATGACCTTGACAGTTTGACCTACTTTCCAAAAAATTTAACATTGGTGATACTTTCTGAATGAAAGATAGGATAGTCATATTTGATATGTGCATTAACTGTACAAGACCTTTTCGAATATATGTACTATGTTTTTGACATCATGCTCTTAACCTTAAAATTTGACCAACTGGACTTTTCAAAAATTTTAACATTAATAATAACTTTTTCAGTGAGAGAAGATGGGACTTTCATGTTGTACATGTACATTATCTGTGACAACACCTTTCTGGAAGAACTATCATTTTTGACTTCATGACCTTGATCTAGAAGTTTGACTTTTTTATCAAAAATTTGAACTTTGGGCGTAACATTTTTGCTCCATACAGAAGAGACAGGGCTTTCATATTTTTTTTCACATGTGCAATACTTTTGACAAGATCTATTATGATATTTTCACCTCATGACTTTGATCTAGAAGTTTGATGCAGTTTTGAGAAACTATTTAATCTTTTAACTTTTATTAATTCAAAAATTTAAATCTTTTTGCATGATGGACAGATAAGACAGGACACACAGACAAGATAGTTACAATATGCCATAAAAAATGGCATCCCAAACACTAAGGCACCGAAAGTGGGGACCACAATTCTTTGAATTTGCTTGTATTAACTAAATACACTTAAAATCTTCATGTAATTTCTCAGGAAACCAGCACATTCCCCTACTTCAGTCAGTAAGAGGGTCAGTATTTGTGCCGTTTATATTTAGGCTGTCTCAAATAAATTCTACGTTTTACATCATCCAGACAGAAAAGTTTCAGGTGGATTAT